AGGGAGGGTGCTAGCCTGATCTCCTTGGGAGGGAGTTCCAGAGCCGGGGGCCCACAACTGAAAAGGCCCTTTCTCTCATCCCCACCAGCCATGCCTAAGACGGAGGTGGAAGCAAGAGTAGAGCCTTTCCATGTCGGTTTGTAGGGGAAGATGCGGTTGCAAAGGTCCCAAACTGTTCAGAGCTTTATGGGTAATATTTTTTTACCTTGAATTGGATCCAGAAACTTATTGACATGGATTCTAAGGCATTTTGTTATGAACTACATGATCAGAAGTCATTCTGTTGTGAACATGGTTGGCACTCACCTTGTCTTTTCTCACCAGATGAAAAAATATATGACTTGGGGCTGATGGGCCCCCAAAACAAAAACATATCCAAAGCATTTTGCATATCTTTTGGATGATTGGTTCTTCATCTTTGTCTTTCTCCAGCCACAGGTATAATTCCACATGCCCTTTTGCTTTTAATGGATATTTGATATTTGTATGTTTGGGTTCACATCTGATAGACATCTGCTGCAGTTGCAGTCATTATTGGTAACAGGCTATTATTAATTTATTTATTGGCTTTTAAAATGAAATGTTTATTTTTGAAGGGAAGGTATTATAAGCATTATTTCTTATCTCGAACATGGGTGATGGGATTTCTTTCTATTGCTGCAAAGATATAAGTAGGAATTGTAAGCACTCTCTTGATTTAATCATGATTCCAAGAACATCTTCCAGAATTTATCCAATTAATTTGCTTGAATCTTAATTCCAAACCCACGTTTGCATATATGAAGCAATTTAAGACAAAAGCAATGAAGCTATTTAACACATATAAAGTTGCTCCCAACTTATGAAGCTGAGAACTGTACAACAAATTAATAAACATGACTGTGAAGTAATAAAGAAAGTAAAGAAAATAATAAACATGACTGTGAAGTAATAAAGAAAATAATAAACATGAATGTGTTGTTGTAGGAATATGTGTTGTGAAGGAATATGTAAAGATAAAGAATCTAAATTTTCTTTCTCATCTAATGCATAGATTTCTTCCACTCCATGTTTCCTTCCATCTTTTGGAAGTTGGTAATATCATTTCTTAGACATGTTTATATGGGGTCCTTTACTGCTGCCGAGAACCTAAAGTTTTCCTCCTCTACTGAATAAACCAATCGATGCTTGCATCTGAAAGCATACTGTTTCTTTTAAAACTTGTCTAGTTCAGGCTTCTACAGTTAGCAGGAAAACTGCATTGCTCTTTTTAATGTTCCCTGTAATTTCTATCACATCACTTATCTTAATAATGCTTCTCTTAGTTTAATTGGAACCTGGAGCTTCTTAATTGGACTGTGGGCTTTGACTGTGTTTCGGATTACTCTTGCACCAAACTGGAATAAGGTAAAGCAGGTCAGACCTGCTCAGTTGTGGCTGACACCCCAATTCTAGACAAAAACCAGATATGGAGTTTCTCTCTTTCAAGATCCATGATAACTTGAGCTCTGCTGACAGTAATGATTAAATAAGAAGTGCTGCACATTGGCGCTTCTTTCCAGGACAGTTGAGCATCTTCTTCACAATACCATATTTCATTTCATGATAGTCACACTTTTCACACACACCCCTTTTTTTATTTGAAACAAGGGGTGTGGGATTATTACACAATGAAATAAAATCGGAACCTTGTGTTTCGGGTTTCTGGTTTTTGTTTCTTTTTTTAAAAAATGGTCTTAGCTCCAAGATTAATAGGAGGGAGAGAGTATTTGTTTAAACTATCTTTGGGAGTGAAAGGGAAAGGAAAAGTTCCATGTTTGTTTTTTGTTATGCCAACTACCAGTGACTATTATGCAAGGAAAGGAAAAAAACAAACATTTTGGCTGACAGTTATGTGGTGGCAATATTATTCCAAAAGTCTTTCAAGCCCGGCATATTTTCTATGAATTGTCAAACTTCACAAGAAAAATAGGTGACAATAACACCCTCTTGTTCTCTGTAAATTAGTATTGACAGGATGATGATACTGAAGATGACATAATGACTCATAGCTACTCAGTGTCTAATCATCTAATGTATGAAGTCCCTTTTTATTGTCATGCAAATTAGTAACCATAACTATCCCTTGTGGTACTAAATTCAGGCCCTCTAAAATTTCACAGGTAAAAACCAGAACACATGTGCCTAAACAACATTACAGTGTGCTCAAGATGGTGTCTTGAAGCTCATCAAATGGCGAGATGAACAAGAGAGACAAACAAGGTGTTTGTGTGGGTGTAGGGAGAAAGATAGAGCACAATGTGCACTTGTGTCTCTTGGGCAAGCTTCTCCAATCCCAGAGAGCTACGGTTGTGGTCTTTTTATTGTTTGTTAGCATTGGGTGGAGGCTTGCTTGCTCTATCATTAGGGTTCTATTGTTCCAATGCGAATAGACACAGGTCAGCCTAAGGTTATCTGCAGAAGCGATTGGTTTCAGGAGGGAAGAGAACCTGCGTAGAAAAAAATAGGTCACAGGATGCAGGCCACAGCCAGGTTGAGGGAGGAACTATATTCGGGAGCACAACTATTATGTGATGATAACTAGTATGTGGTGAAAAAAACTTTTATTTTTTGTGTGTGGATCATCACATAATAGTATGTTTGAGGGTTAAGCTGTGTGAATGGATACCTCCCTGCATAGGTGCACCCTCAAAGCATAGCTGGGGAGGAGAGAGGCAGGCGAGCTGGTTCACCTGCCCATCCATTTCTCCCCTCCAAGCTATGGAGCCTCTGTAGCTTGGAAGGGACAGACTGGGTGTAGGCAAGTTCACTCAGTCACAGCTTCTCCCTTTCAAGCTGCACTTATAGCTCAGAGGGGACAGGCTGAGGCTGGGGAACTCTAACTTGCCAAAATAAGGCAAGGCTCAGTAGTTGCAGAGGAAACAAGTGGGTGAGAGGGTGGGTGTACTCACTTCCCCATCTGCTTGCGCGTTTCCTTGGCACTGCGGGACTTGATTTGTCTCCCAGTTAAGTCAAGTCCCATAGCATCAAAAGAGCAGTCACACCCTTAATTCAATGGCCTAGGCAGGTGAATTAAGATTGCGGCTATTACATGGGGAAAGGCAAAATACCAATTTTGCTTTCCCCAAAAGAGGATGGCAGTATAATATAATGGAAATGACTGTGTGATGAAATACAGCATTTATTCGGATGAGCCAATGTACAGGCAGTTCCCAGGTTATGAACAAGATAGGCTGTGTAGGTTTGTTCTTAAGCTGAATTTGTTTGCAGTAGGAACAGGTATATTTTTAAATGTAACTCAAGCCACACACACACACACACACACACACACACACACTTTGGATAATATAGGAAAGATTTAACACCCATGTAGTGTTTGTTTTGCTGTCTGTGCCCCTGTTCAGAAGATTTCACCTCACTTTCTGTTCCTGTGATAATTGGATTTTGAAAAATAAAATAGCATGTTGTGGAAACAAGGATTGGTGAGAAAGCCTCAGTGGAGACACCTTTTCCCCATGAAAACCTTTTCAGGAATGAATGTCCCTTTTGAGGGATCGATTTATCTGACTTCCTGTTGTCCCTCCCCTGGTTTTGACTATGAGTAATTTGTAAATCAGATGTTTGTAACTCGGGGACTAGCTTTGGGACAAATATTACATAAGTAGATCCAACTGAAAGTTTTTTTCTGGCACTTTTCAATGAAAATACTTTTTTGTTTCAAAAAGATTTTATTGGATTTTTTTTAAGATAACAGAACAAGAAGACAGGCATATGTGCATAGGTTATGAACAAGAGCTTTGACATATATCCTAGCTAACCATATATTCATTTTCTTAAAGAAGACATCTGTAGCATGCATGTTCATGGGTAGTGAAACCAGCAAAATCTTCTGACTAGTAAAACACTGAGAGTATTTAACCAGAGCAAAAGAATGAAACCACGTTGACCATAATTTATATTCCAAACTCCCAGGATACATAAGCTCATATATATATATATAACCCCCTATCCAGAAACCCAAAATCCAAAAGTGTCCATGTGGGTGACTGAAATAATAACATCTTTTTGTCATGCACAAGCTATTAAAACATTCTATAAAATTACCCTTGGGCTACGTGTATGAGGTGTACAGTATATGAGACATAAATAGATTTCATGTTTAGACATGGGTCTTATCTCCAAGATATCTCTTTATGTACATATATGCAAATGCAAGTACTGTATTCCAAAATCAAAAAATCAAAATCCCAAACACTTCTGATCCCAAGGAGTTAAGATAAGGAATACATAAATCGTGATTTCAAAGTTCACATGCATCTAAAAAAGAATAAGATTTTTCTGTTGCAAACTGAAACTGCTGTAGTATCTCTAACATGAACGAGCCACCACTGAGCAGCACATCACATGCAAGAAGGAAGCATTATCTTTATTACATCATGAGCATTCAGTTGAAGTAGTGTTGTCCAATATAGAAAAATCAGTTTCATTCAACCATTGTTTTAAATCTGAAAACTACAACAGATTTCTACTATAATTTGTGGATGAGAATCTAACACTTTATTTCGCTCGGTTCTAATTAACATTAAAGTTACTCCTCTCCAACAAAGACTTATTAGCTAATTTTGTTGATGCCACTTTTTCAAAACATCAGGACGATAGTCCACATAAAGACACAAAAAGACACTGTATATGAAGATAGCTGATAAGCTATTAAGATTTATGTAAAGTATAATTCCACAATCAACCAATTTTTCTATAAAAAGGATTATTTTATATCCTTCAAATTGGGATTGTCCTATAAAGATCATTTTGCATAACCATATAGATGAAATTGTGATTGACAAGAAATCATATACAGGCAGTCCCCAAGTTACAAACAATATAGGTTCTGTAAGTATGTTCTTGTTCAATTTGTTTGTAAGTCAAAACAGGTGCATTTTTAAAGTTTAACTCCAGCCAAATTTTATATATATATATATATATATATATATATATATATATATATACACACACACACACACACACACACACACACACACACTTTGGACAGCATAGGTAACGATTAACACCCTATGGTGTTTGTTTTGCTGTTTTTGTCCCTCTTCAGAAGATTTCACCTCACCGTCTGTCCCTGTGATCATTGGATTTTGAAAAAAATAGTCTTATTGTAGAAACAAGGAATGTCAGAAAAAGTTTCAGTGGAGACACCTTTTCCCTCTGAGAACTCTTTCAGGAGTGAATTTCCATTCTTAGGGGTAGATTCCTCTCAGTTCTTGTTGTTTTATCCCTGTTCTTATGAGTCGTTTGTAAGTCAGATGTTTGTAACTCGGGGATTGCCTGTACTAGTCTACTCTAACATCAGAAATTGCAGCAGGCACCATCCTTTCTTACTCAGACAGGTGAACCTACAGTAATCCAGTTAAAATTAACTAGGTTAATTATAAGATAAGCCAAGAAATGCAATCAAATCTGGTTGTACTTGCCAGTTATTTGTACGAGTCAGGAAATATGTCTTGAAATATCAACTCAAATCTGGAAAATTAAACCCATCTTCAGAAAATGACAGCTGTGTCTTTTTTAAAAAAATGAATCAGAAATGTCCTTATATAAATGTCCTAAATAGTGTTAATTTTATTTACTCATTATTTATTAAAATATTTATCTCCTACCTTATATTTTGAGATCTGAGGGTAAGTTACAAAAAAACCTGACATTAACAAGTTTTAAAAGTCTAAAAAAGCAAAAATAAAATGTCCAAAACATCTTAAACATCTTGAGAAATTAAAATACTTTAAACCATGTGCATAATATTCTGAAAATAAACCGGAGTGATATACAATAAGATAACGCAAAAGAACATGCAACTGCTGGCATTCTGTTAGTGACATCTGCTGGTGTAATTCACATTACGCTTGCATAGGTCTTTTTTGATCCAAGCAAAAATGAGGGAAAAAAGGGTGGCAGCAGACACCTTCCAATCCTAGTTCAGGCATGTGACTTTTAATTATAGCATCAGAACACACAATTTAATTTGCATGGTGAAGTTTCCCATATAAAATGGAATAATGAATACCATTAACAGCCTCCTCCCTATCTAATTGTCATATACAGTCATGGTTATATAATGCTAGTCAAATTGATCAAATATATTAGGAGAATCCAAATTTGGGCCATATAAATTTATCAAAGTCTTATTTCAGGTTTTGATGTATAAGGATGTGATCTTCTGTTTCTAGAGTGATTTGAGTCACTAAAAGTGGAACACTCTTGTAAATGACGACATATTTTGCTTTTGAAGAATTGCCACTTGTTCTCCTGCAAAAGAGCAATATCAGTTTTCTGTTTCTTTAGGTGAAAAAGAACCATTTTCTCTCTTTAAGAATTGTTAGACGTCTAAGATTCCATGTAATAACATTTGCAAATATGTTAAGTTTTAAAAACTATACTTAGTAAAGGAGGGGAAATTCCATCCCATATGTTGTAAAGAAACGGTTGTGTTGAAAAGAAAAGAACATAACCACAAAAATAAAACAAAAGAAAGAAAGAAAAAAGAAAAGAGAAACAAAAAGGAAAAAAGGATACAGTGGAGTGCTTCCAGTCGGGATAGCGGCACGCCCATTGCATCTCGCGTTAATCCACAAACCTCCAGTCAGATCTGTCAAAGGGGGGATACCTTTATTTTTATGACTTAAAATTTAGCATTTGAATGCATTAGGATTTCTACAAACAAGGCTACTCGCAGAAAATAAGAAATAATGAAAATATCAACAATTATGCAGTAAACTGGAAATCGGAGCTGAAGGAAATGTACCAGTGTTTCTAAAAAAAATTCAAGGAACAAAACTTCTGCCAGCAGTGTCTGACAGACTTGCAGCTTTATCACACAGATGGCTGCAAGCATTGTATGATGCCTGTAGCACAGCTGATTGACAGAGACCCATGCCGTCCATCACAAGAGGCTCACTAACTTCTGGCAGGGCTCTGTTGAGCAATACTTCATCCATAACATAGGAGGCTTCCCATGTTCCATAGGGAACAACGGGGCCACCATGGGGGGAAGCCACATGATGACACTTACCCCATGTGTAATGGGGAAGCATCGCTGTGAGCAAGGCAGGGCGCAGGGCACCAGGATTACCCCACTGCCCCACTGTTTTGCCACAAAGGCTGGCAAATCCCCCGCTGTCCCTCATCAATATGATGAGGTCCTTGGCCACAAAAGACAAATCAAAATTCTAAAAAACACTTTGAATATCTATGAATGCAAGTGGCACTTTTTTAATCTCTCTCTTTTTTTTTTTTGCATCTCAGCTAGCCAATGAGATAACAGAAGAATGATAAGTTCCAGTTTCAAATAGTATTTTGAACACACAAAGATGGTCAAAGTATTGTTGGCAGATGGTAAAGTAGACCACTGTTGGATAAAATGAGGCTATTTGTGGGCCTCCCGGGAGATGGTGGAGGGCCATAAGCACACTACACAAAAATGCAAACTATTTGCTCCCCTAAATGCCATCTCGCCCCGCCTCCATTTTTTTTCTGCCCAGGCCCTTTTAAATTCAGGAGGGCAATTTTTATACAAGGTTATCAAGAACTTAATTTATGTTTGCTTCATGTTCATCAAAAAGACCTTTTGTGCTAAAAAAAAAACCCAGTGGAAAAATACCCCCTCAGCCCCTAAAAATATTTTGATGCATTTTGGGAGAACTTTTATTTTCAACAAAAATTTGCCTCCCCACCCCACCTGGATCAGAAACTGGCCCTGTAGGACCACATCTGGCCCGTGAATTAATTTTGTCTACAGAACTTGCCAGGTACATGGTCAAGACTGATCTTCTGACATATTTATTCTTGTATGTTTTTCCAGTGCTTAGGACACCATCTTCTGGTACTTAAATACTGCCCTCTACAGCTCCAGTTTTGGACAGGGATATTATTGTCATATTTAAAAGAATGCCAATAAATTCCTTGACACTTTTCAGATCTCTAGTCACTGTTTAAAAAATGCAATTCGTCTTTTTATTCTAATTCTTCAATCTTGTCAGAAGGATGAAGCTTTCATTTTTCTTCTTCTGAGGTTTACTTTTCTTCTTAACAGTCTCTCTTTTGGCTGCCTTTAGACCAATGTTCAAGTACTTGCTTAGTCACTTTGAAAACATGCTTGCTTCCAGTCAAAAGTACAGACATGCCTCAGTTAAGGCAGTCAATGTGCTCCTGGGTACTAGAGGCAGAAATAACATGGAATAAATAGAGAAACAAAATGAACAGTAGTTGGCCATATTTTAACCAACTTTTGATTTGAAATTATCAACACACACATGAGATATGAAACAATCAGGTCAAACAAGCCTTGAATAAGTAAACAAATATTTTAAATTTTCTACAGTCCATCTGAGATTGTCTTCCAAATGGCACCAAGAGGTGACCCCCCCCCCCTTTAAAAACAGTTTCCACCTTTCCTATAATTTCCATTTTGGTGGTCACTTATATATTATGCTTTTTTTACTTGCTTGGGAAGTAAGGCAGGGCGTTTCTAGTAGGCTTGGGCAATCCATAATTCTAAATGGTTCTAAAGTAATTAGAGGGTGCTGGTGATTTGCTTCTAAAGTGTTGCTAAATCTGGTGCTTTACTTATAAAGTGTTGCAAAAGTTCTGGTAGTGAAAATTTCAAAACTCTTAATAAAACTTTGAAAATTTCATTATTATTTCATTATTGGCCATTTTTATGACAGAACCAATTAGGAACTGCCATTTATAAAGACATTTTGAAAGTTTTGTTACCATTCTGAAATCTTCACCACAGAACTTTAGCAATATTTTAGAAGCAAAGCACCAACGCCCTCTACTTTGGTAAGTACTTTAGAACCATGGGTTGCCCATGCCTAGTTTCTACACAGCACTAAAATATGGATTTTCCTAAGGTGTGCAGATGACATTTCAGGTTAATACATTAAAACCAGAAATAAACTGAATCTACTTGGTTTATTCCAGATTTTTTAAACACCTATTAATAGCCGAGGGCCCTGTGGGGATTTACTCTTGGGACTCTTCAGGCTTCCAAAAGTCTGGAGGAGCAGGGTGGTGCCCTCCTTCCCCTCCCAGCCCCCCATTCCCTCCCCCCAAAACTTACCCCAAGGGCTTGCCAGGCACAGAGGACCTCTCTGGAGAGTTATGGAGTAGCATCATAATTATGCTGGGAGGGGGGATTACTCCTTTTGCCCCCTTCTCCTTCACCATTCTGTTATGACTGCACAGCTCTCTGGAAAGGCCCTCCATGCCTGGCAAGCGGGCAGGGTTAGTTTTGGGGAAGGGAATAGAGGGTTGGAGGATATCTGGATGTCCTCTTACTGGGTCAATCTTCAGTTGACCTGGGAAGGCATGTAGCTAACCTGGGAGGAAAAGCCCAGGGTTGTGGGATGGGGTGAGGACTACAATGCATGCGAAAATGGGTTAGTTTTGCCCACATTTTACTTATGTCTGGAAGTGCCTGCAACCTAACTTGATTTTGCCGTTTCCCTCTCTTTTGCTGTCCATGAATGCTTAGTAAGTGATTCTTAAGGCAGTTTCTGTTTTTCTTACCTGTTGCAGGCAGAGACACATATTAACAGTAAGAAAGGTTACAGCAGAATTACACTTTACTGTAGACCCATCTTAACCAACATAAACTTACCGGTGTTTCAGTGGGAAATGTGGCCTGCTTTTGGCTGATGAGATAGTCAAGTTAATTAGGATCCTTGTTGTGTGCCTTCAAGTTGTTTCAGATTAAGACCACCCTAAGTTAAAGATTTAGAGCAGGGGCTGGGTAAATGTCCTTGGGGGGTCGCATCTGGCCTGTGGGTCTTAGTTTGGGGACCCCTGCTGTAGATGTCCAATCTATGCCCAAAAGTGTTTATCCATGTCTTCTTCACCATCATTCCAGTGCTGCTAAAAATCTCTCATCTAGATAAGAGGACAAAAGAAAAACATGAGCAATGAGCACACAAAAAACATCTGCAAAAAGTAGAATCTTTGTCATAAACTTTGTAACTAAGGAATGCCTATACAAGTGTGGATGTGACAATCTGGATCAAACAGAGCAGAGGGTAAAGTGTGGAGATAAGAAGTGAGATTGATCAGAATGACATCTTGACCAGAAGTCCTCTTGACCAGAAGTCCTTTTACTACAAAATGATAAGTACCGCATATACTCATATATAAGCCAACCTCATGTATAAATTGAGGGTAAATTTGGGGGCCAAAATTATGGATTTTGATATGACCTATTGATAAGTTGAGGGTCATTCTGTGAAGAGAGAAAAATGCCAATGCTGCCAAAGGCGTCCATCCAACATTTCTCTGCCCAGGCATTCAAAAAGAGCAGGAGCAGCACCACAGTGGAGAGACTATAGGGAGTCAATGCTTCTTTTGGGTTTTCCAATAATGAATGGTCTTGCCTTTTGCCATTCCTTTCAGAAGTGGATGGTCCCTTTTTTGTGATAAAACTAAAGGTACAGTAGGTACACTGATCCATAGATTGAATCAGTATTTTTACTAACATTTCTAGGCATATATGTGATTATAAAGAGTAAATATCCGTTGAATAAAGCACATATCAGATAACTTGTTATCAGCATGAATTAACATGTATACGGAATTAGACTCAGAAGAAGAAAATATGAAAACTGGAGGATGAATTATCAAGAATTAAAGACATACAGGTGACACAATGCAGTGCTACTAGTAGAAACTAGAAGACTTGGAACCATTAAGGAAGAAAGTCAGGGAAGAAAGTACAAAGGCAGGTTTACAGCTGAGCATTTTAAAAAAACCAAAATAATGACCACATATGATTTAAGTAGCTTTAAACCAATGATGAAAACACTGAAATAGTTCAAGATTTTCCATACCTTGGCTCAGTCATTAATCAGAATGGAGGCTGCAGGCAAGAAATCAGAAGACTAGGTCTTGAAGATCAGCTATGAAGGAACTAGACAATAAATAATACTAAAGTTAGGATTGTCTATGACATCATATTTCGTATTTCTTTGTCATCGTTAAAGCTGGATAGTGAATATAGCTGACAGGAAGTAAATTAATTCATTTAAAATGTGCTGGAGAAGAGTCCACAAATACTGTGGACTGCTAAAAAGAGAAATGAATGGGTCCTAGAACAAGTCAAGCTGAAGTCTCTCTAAAAGCTAAGATGACTAAACTGAGACTGCCATAATTATGACACCTGATGGGAAAACATGACTCACTAGAAAATAAAACAATGTTTGGCAAGATAAGATGCAATAGGAAAAGAGTAAGACCGCATTCCAGATAGTTAGACTCTTTCAAGTAAGCCACAGCCTTGAACTTGCAAACAGGGCTATTGATGACTAGGAGACTTGGAAGTCTCTCTTTCATAGGGTCACTATGAATCCAAGTTGACTTGATGACAATTGATCTAACTGAGGGCTTGAAAAAAGGGATGTTGCATGTCTAGACACTCTCAGATGGGGGTCACCTGGCCTAGAAAGCCAACTTCACCTGTCATCAATGCAAACAAGTCTGTAAAAATCTTTTCCAATGGATTGCCAACACACTACTCTCCGCAATTGTTTCTCCAGTGAGTCATCAGAGAGAAACAGAGCTCTGAAGGAGGTGTACATAAATTGTGCAGGTGGCAGTTTACATAATTTAGGTGCCACCGCCTTATTTCAGCATTGTAGGTATGTAGCCTCACAGGCCTGTGAATCCTTATGGTCCACTGGAAAAACACATGCTGGAGTCAGGAAATCTAAATTCTTTGAAATGATAGTAGCACATTATAAATTGCAAAGATGTTTTGATTAAGTTTGTTCCTCTTTAAATGTATGTTAACTAAGATGTTTTTGTGCAGCTAGATTGGTTTGGCGTTCACCAAATAAGTTGCTTTCTAGGTAATAACAGCCCATGGCAATTCTCCTAAAGTTATTGCAGAATTAGATTTGATTACAATAGGCAATTTCCTATGCAAGAGATAAAATATTGTGAAAATAAAGTTATGTCATATCTTCCAGTTTGGTAGTGATGGCGGGTAATGGAGGGCCCCCTGCTTTCAAGCTAATCTGCAGCAGGGAGTTCCACAGTTCCTGGATGCCCAGTTGGGCCAGCATCAATGGGAGTGTGGCCACAGCAACAGCTTCAACTAGAGACTCTTTTTTCTGCCTTGCTTTCTCCCCCTTGCCCTAACATTGTAGCAAATCCCCAATAAAGTATCATTCAATTGTAACTTTTTCCTCTCCATAGTGATACATTGTGTCCTTTTACTGTCTCTAACACTCTCCAGCATGAACTTTCCCTCTCCCGAGCTGCAGATCACTGCCGGCTCATCCAGGATGCCTTCCCAGCATCCCAGGGAGGCTGAAACTGCGTCCCTCTGAACCGCAGATATGGAGACCCATGTGGCCCCTGTATCTGCGGGTCAACAGATCACTTCCAAACCAGTGCCATTCTTCTCCTAGACAATTTCTAAGACTAACTGCTATCTCGCTTTTTGCATTCTGGACTCCTACGTTCTGGGAATAACCTTTTTCACCCCAAAACTCCATCTGGAGATCAGCTGATTGTGATCCATGGCTCCTTGCCACAATGTTGTTCCTGCCACCGTCTTGTTGCTATCCAGAAGCCTGTTGACCTGGGGAGCCTGCTATAGTCATCCCTTGGGATCCCCGGGAAGCAGACAGGCCATCCTGGCCCTTTGACAAGATGGGATTTATAGTTTTCTTCTCCCAAATGAATGAACCCTGATCCTCAGCATTCCGCAATGATCCCAGTGTGAACTCAATTAACTTTTAAGAACATTTCCCTTTATTCATGAATTCTTTGGACTTTTATTGAACCTTTGCCCACTTTGGAAAACTTTTGAAACTTTTTGGAAACTTTTCTCTCCCCAAGCCCAATGGACTCCCACTGTACTTTATGAACTTTTCAATAGACTCTGGTGGGTGGGAAGGGCTGATATGATTTCCTTTCTTCTCTACATGAATGTATCCCCTATGATCCCCTTGCAAGCCCCCCCTCTTTCCCCCATATCCCTATATGAAATATGATATTCCACCTCTTTGTGAACCCAGCATCCCAGGGTCCCAGGAAATCTTCTCTTACAATCTTTTACAAGCTAATCCTAAGACAAAAGGACTCACCAAGGACATTTTGAATGACTGATAAACAAATGGCCCCACTTCCTCAGACTTCGGAGAAGTCAAAGACTTGTCCATCTGAAGGATGGATCCTAAGGACATTTAATCATCACCCACAAAAGGTGTTTTTGTCACCTCTGTCTCCTTCATTTTGAGACAATCCCCTTGCCCGAAGCTGACAAGATATCATCAGCTGATTTCATATCCCATACCGAGGGACAACAAAGAGACAGACTTCCTGATCAACTTCCAAAAACCAAAGACAATAGAGGAACAAGTTTGAGAGCTCAAAGTAAGCTGTCACCCACATTTATCCAATCATTAGCCATTTAATCCATTCATCTTTTCTCCCGGTTCATTATTTCCTGCCCGGACCGCCTCCTTCCTTCTCATTGGCCGGGAGGCCAAAGCGGCGCTGGCTCTCTGATTGGCTGAGGCATGGTGAAGCCGGCTGTGCCTCCCAGCCAGCTGATTACTCCAACCAATCAGCGTAAAGCTGACAAGGGGAGCGGGAGCGGGAAATTCGAATTTGACAGCTCTCTATATACTATAAAAATGGTGTTATTTTGCTTTGTGTTTTATGTCGGCTTTGACAAATGATTGCAGTTTGACATCCGCTCCAGCTGGAATGAAATAAACAACTCGGTGGCATTTTCTTAAACTTTGGTGAGATTTATTTGGGAAAAACAGGGAAAATTCTTTTGCGCGCTTCCTTCTTGCCAGGGTTATAGTGGACCCTCCTTGGTGGATCTGCCGGGTCCCTGCCTCCAAGGTGAGACCCTTCAAATTCTTGCTCGATATCAGTAAGGACTATCCTGATAAAGCTTTTATTGTCTCACTTTTTCAATGCTTTTAAAACATCCAAGTTTCTCTTGACTCTTCTCACTTTACCTATTTGTTCTTTTCTTATTTCAATTTTTGCAAACAGTTCAAAGTGCAAAGTAGGGTCAAGCAAAAGCAAACTTCTTCACCCTCTCATAGCTTGTGTGTTCTTTCTCATTAACAAACTTTGTCGTCTTGACTATACTGTGATATTGCTTAACCCCTTTGAGCCTCTTTTAAGAGAGAACAGGGAGCATATAAATAAATTTAATAATAACAAAAATAGTCACATATATCATCACCTGGTGACACAATAATCTATAAAGAATTTTTTTGAAGAAATGTGCTGCATAATATTCAGATGCTCCCAAACTCATACCTTTTATTTGAAGTATGCCTCCATCTGCTTAACACTATGCCTCTCTAAGAAAATTTCAAATATTGAATCACATTTCACAGTTTTTGAAAAATTGCAAGCAAATATAGCTTTCTAAATTATTTTGGAATTCATTTTCTTGTCTTAAACTACGTATTTTATTATTATTAGTTGTTTCTATATATTCTTGGAACCCTGGTGGCATAGTGGGTTAAACCACTGAGCTGAGCTGCTAAACTTGTTGACCGAAAGATCACAGGTTCGAATCCAGGGAGTGGCATGAGCTTCCACTGTCAGCCCTAACTTCTGCCAACCTAGCAGTTCGAAAACATGGAAATGTGAATAGATCAATAGGTACCGCTCCGACAGGAAGGTAACAGAGCTCTATGCAGTCATGCTGGCCACATGACCTTGGAGGTGTCTATGGACAACAACAGCTCTTCAGCTTAGAAATGGAGATGAGCACCAACCCCCAGAGTTGGACATGACTGGACTTAATGTCAGGGGAAAAACCTTTACCTTACCTATATATTCTTAGATAAGTTTCAGTTTTGCAACTTGGATAGATTTTCAAGATATCCTAATGTTAACAGCTTTTCTCAAGTCTTGTAAACTCATCAACGTGGCTTCCTTTATTACATCAGTCTATCTGTATAATAATAGTTAGCAGCAATGAAGCAAAAATTAATTGCAAAAGAAACATTGGAGTCTCCTGGTTGCATTCTTTCCCACTACTGCTTTGTTGACAGAAGATTTTAAAATAATTAACCATAGTTGGATTCTTGAAACCAGTTGCTCAATTGATTGCTTTAAATGACAAATGTTGTTAATACCTTATTAGCAATACAAATGAGTAGATATAATGTACACATAAGCACATACACAGATGTTCATTTACACCTGACCCTCCACATTCACAGGTTTCACTTTCACAGATTTGGTTAATACATTCTGTCTATGAATCTCTAGGGCCTTTCCAGACAGGCCCTATATTCCAGGATCTGATCCCAGATTTTCTGCTTTAAACTGGATTATATGAGTTCGGACTGCCAGATAATCTGGGATAAACATAAAACTTGGGATCAAATCCTGGGATATAGGGCCTGACTGGAAGAACCCTTAGTCCTCCAGTGAGTCTATCAACTTTTTCACACAGCCGGAATTGCCACGCATCACCTGGCACTCAATTCCCCACAGCTCCTGGCTCCTGATTTAGGTGATTTCATGGGGGGGGGGGGGAGAGGCATTGACTATGTGGCTCTCCCCCCCCCCCCAATTGCTTTCTACGGCAACACGGGAAGCCTCCTGAGTTGCTGTGGCATCAGCATGCACCAGCTCTGCCCTACATCACCCATGGAGTCCCACCAATGAGAGTCAGTGGGCTCCATGATGAACTAGGGCTTAACCTCCATATGCTACTTAAATTAGCCCTTTGTGAAAATGGAGTATATCTCTGTGCCAGGTGGGTAATCCTAAAACAGTTGGATGATTCTTATGGTCTTTTCCAATTCCTTATGGTCTTTCCCACTTGTATTGTCACTTGAGTGCTAATGTTCATCCACTGAAAGATTTGAAATCCTTGTTGTATGTCCCGGCTCTTAATCATGTTCCAAAAAACATGATGGCTAGGCATTTCTTGTGTTAAACAGCTCTTACAAAAACCACATACATAAGCATTAGGCTTGGTTGATCGTGTTCGTAAGTTTCTAAACTCGTAATGAATTCGTATTAAAATTACCTTTGATCCAATATTGAGCCATGCAGGAATAGTGTGAGGAGTAATTACGAATTGAAACGATTTCCCCATTTTTCGTAATTATTTTCAGATGTCTGGTGCAAGTTTTATAATCTCGCAGTTTGCCTTCCCTGGATGACTGAATGGCGATGGATGGCAGGGGAATGAGGTGAGCGTGGCTACGCCCAGCTCTTCTTGACGGCTACTGGGGGAAACTGCACCACCGCTTGTCACCTGGGAGGCCAGGGAAACTGCGATATTTTAAACTAACAGGGGGGAGGGGCACCTTCAATTAACGAAGTAAACGAAGCTATTCAGATTTTTGCTATTTCCGATCTTCTTTTCAAGAAAATTTGAGAAATAATTTTAAAATCGAAACGCCAGCGCCCCCTATATACGAAACGAGTTTAGAACCATTTTTTATTGATCAACCAAGCCTAATAAGCATCCCTTCAAAAATCTTCAAAAAGAAAAATCAGCCTGTTTAACAAGTCTTACATATTCTGATTTATTATCATTCATGTTTGGTCTTATATCTATTTTATATGTCTATATATCTGAGATCACATAAAATGTACTCTGCAGAAAGCCATGGTCTAACATAGTGGTTCTCAACCTGTGGGTCCCCAGATGTTTTGGCCTTCAAATCCCAGAAATCTTATTGGCTGCTAAACTGGCTGGGATTTCTGGGAGTTGTAGGCCAAAACATCTGGGGACCCACAGGTTGAGAACCACCGGAACAGATGGTAGGATGAGATGGGGAAGTTTCCACTCCTATTGTCACTTGACTGCTAATGTTCATCTACTGAAAGGTTTGAAATCATTGTTGTATGTTCCAACTCTTAATCGTGTTCTAAAAACACATGCTGGCTAAGCATTTCTCATGTAAAACAGATTTCCTAAAATCAGGAAATGACTTTCAATATCAAGGTATTTCATGCCCATATCACACCTTTTAAAATTAATTTAGCCTCATATGGTATTGTGAAACAGGTAATTGAAAAGAAAGGATGAAAGAACACAAGACTTGCATACAAAACATCCAGAGTTTAATCTCTGGCAACTAAGGCTAGAAAAAATGCATATCTGAAGGTATGGAGAGTTGCAGCCATCCATTGTAGACGTAGGTAGACAACTTTTAATCCTCCAGGTGTTTTACCACTCTCATTAACCCCACCCAACACTTCAAATGGTAAGATACTGCAGATGTTGGATTTTAAAACACCTAAAAGACCAAAGGTTCCCACCCGTGGCATTGACTGACAGTAATGAGCTAGGTGGAGCCATAGTTTGACTGGAAGTAAAGAAGCTGTTTCAGTGCTTCTTCATTACTTTTAAATGAACAAACTATATTAACCAGAGATCAAATAAGTATGTATATGCCACTTGCCTTGCCCTATGGAGACCTACATTGCTTTTCTGAGAGCATTATGGGTAGATTAATGAAGTTCATATCTTTTTAGTGTCCAGATCCTGTGTAACCTTGAAGAACAGTCTTGATCAAGAAATTAATCAGGTTTCTGTTTTGATTTAAATAAGAGGAAAGAGAAACTTTCCAATCTGAAAAAAAAAACCTCTAGAAAAGAGACAGTTTGAGGGGCTGCAGTGTAAAGCAGAAATAATTTTCCCCTAAGCTAGAAAAATTGATATGTTTGTAGGTTCGACCCTATGAAACAGAACAATCTAAAAGCAGGACTCAGAAAGTTATTTTAAAAACTAATTATAATCATAGCTTTAACTGTTTAATTTTTATTGTTAGTACTGGTTTTTACTGGGATTGAATTTTTGCCGAAATCGTAACGTGCCTTGAATCCCTTTGGGTGAGAAAGGCAGGGTAGAAATGAAGTAAAGAAATAAAAACCTCATATACTATTCAAAATAGAGTAGATCACAGAACCAATGGTTGAACTTAGTAGTTAAATTTTATTACTTCAGTGGGCTTACTCTGGGTGAACTTAGCAATTGGATTTGGGCTATAATTCTAGGAGTCTCCAAAATACTAAATTGCTTTTGTGGTGGAAATTCTTAAAACTTCACTATTTCATTTCTAGTTTCTCAAAAATGACAAATACACTTACTCTTTTAAAAAAAAATAGGAAGCAGATTTCTCACAGCACTTGAAACATGATATTCCACTTCCACCATTTATTTACTACTGTAACTAAAAAGGAACTAAATTACACCATGAAGGAGTTGTGTAACCCATTTACAGCTTACTAGGGCTGGGCGGTTTCGTTTTGTTAATTCGTAATTCGTTAAAAATTCATTATTTTTTTTGATAACGAAGCGATAACGAACCATTCTGGAGCAACTTAAAAATGAAACGAATTTTTAAATTTGTTTCGTAAATGCTTCGGATTCATTATGTATTCGTTTCGTTATCGGTTTGAGGTCGTTTCGTTATTATTTCCGCATGTCTGGGGCAAGTTTTATAGTTGTTTTTTGTTTAATTAGTGAAAAAAATTATAATATCACACCAACAGTCAACAACAGAGGGAGAGGGAAGCTTCAGAAATTCCCCCTGTCCCATTTGGAGGTTTTTTAGCGTATTGCGCGGTCGCGTCCGCCATTAACGAATCGATTCGTATTGTTTTGTAATTGTTTCATTAATGTTTCGTAATTTTTTAAACATTTACGAAATTTCGTAAATATCGAACTTTTTAAAAGAAAAATTTCGGAATTCTTTTAAATATCGAAACGCAAAAACCCCCAAAAAATGAATCGATTTTAGAAACAAATTTTTCCGTTGTTACCCAGGCCTACAGCTTACATAATGCAACATAGGGCCCTGCCACACATTCTTATAACCCAGAATATCAAGGCAGAACATTCCACAATATCTGCTTTGAACTGGGTTATGAGAATCCACACTGCCATATATTCCAGTTCAAAGCAGATAATGTGGCATTTTATTCAGCTGTGTGGAAGGGGCCATAGTTATCCCTTATTTACTGAGGAAAGGAATTAGTTTTGGAACTAGTTTCTTCAAAGCTTTAGTTGTCAGGCACCTTTGCTCATCATATTTTACACACTCTTTTGGCCTACATTTGCACATTATTTTAAAGGACAGATCTCTTTTCAAACCTCTCACTAACTCCTTTAAAATTTAGTTAGTATAACCAGTGAATAGATCAAGCCAATCCTCAAGCAATGCAAGAGCCTGAAATTACTCCAATTTGCAATTAAACACTTTTATAAAGAACTGAGGAGAAACCATATGTCACTTTTAAAATAAAACCAATTAGAATCCTGGGAATAACTCACCAAAGCTTTCATGGGAAGAACATCTCTGGAGCTTGTGATCCAGTTGTGAACAAAACTGCATTTGGCTTAACCTTCCTTGACTGCAGAGCTATTAAAAGAATGGGAAAGGGAAAGGGATAGGAATGTTAATTTCTTTTGCATCTAATCAACTTTACTAGTGCATATTCTCATGTTAACCACTGCATATTCATATTTGGCTAAAGGAGTACCTTGTCAGAAGAAATGAATGAAGAGTCAATGAGTTGTCGAAGGCTTTTATGGCTGGAATCACTGGGTTGCTGTAAGTTTTTCAGGCTGTATGGCCATGTTCCTGAAGCATTCTCTCCTGACATTTCACCTGCATCTATGGCAGGCATTCATCAGAGGTTGTGAGGGCCTCTGAGGATGCCTGCCATAGATGCAGGTGAAATGTCAGGAGAGAAGGCTTCTGGAACATGGCCATACAGCCCAAAAAACTTACAGCAACCCAATGAAGAGTCAACTGGAAGTACGGCTGAAGCTGTCCTTCTGCTCAAGATGGTAATGAATATGGTTTCTCCCTATGGAGCAGAATTGAATTGATATTGGGGGAGGCTGGCTTTCTGCCCTCTTTAGGAAGGGGACAGGACAGTTTCTGATCTCACTGGTCACAAGGAGGAGGAGGCACATTCGGCTCTGTGCTGGATTTGAAGTTTGGGACTCATTTCTTTAGGATTGAAGTCATGTCGACAGCAGTGTTCTTGGGAGTTCACCACTAAGCCATCAGATTCAGGCTTGTAGATTCAGGCTGTCTGTTGATATTAAGTAAACTGGGTTTCTGGGTGAAAGCTCACCTTAGATTTAACCAGCAAGATCTTTCCTCGGCCATGAATGTTGGGGTATTTTTGCGTTCCCGGGGATAACAAAGCCAATAGTTTTTCTTGATTTCTACTCATCATTTCTACTAGAGACTTTTTTCCCTGGCAATGCAGTGACAATTGCATGTCACAAGGGGAACAAGGATATCTTGGCCACAGTATTCCACGCTCTGGTTACATCCCGAATAGATTACTGCAATGCACTCTACCTAGTATTGCCTCTGAAGACTGTTTGGAAGCTTCAGTTAGTCCAACGCTTGGCAGCCAGGTTGCTCACAGAAGTGGGATACTGAGAGCACACAACACCCTTGCTACGCTCTTGCTATTAGCTTCCAAGCACAATTCAAAGTGCTGGCTTTGGCCTATAAAGCCCTTAATGGTTCTGGCCCAGTTTACCTGTCCAAACGTATCTCCTGCTACGAACCACAAAGGACTTTAAGATCATTCGGGAAGGCCCTGCTCGCTGTTCCCCCACCATCGCAAGCAATCACAGCTGGTGGCGACAAGAGACAGGGCCTTCTCCATGGTGGGCTCTCGGCTATGGAATTCCCTCCCAAGTGAAATCAGATCCACTCCAGCCTTCCTGACTTTCCAAAAAAAAAGTGAAATCCTGGCTGTGGGATCAGGCCTTTGTGGACTAGATAATGTTTCATAATGTTTTATACTGTTTTTACTTAATATGTATATCTATGTTGTTGTTAGCCATCCTGAGTCCCTCTGCGGAGGTCGAGATAGGATGGGATATAAATATCTTAAATAAATAAATAAATCTATTAGAAAGTAGCCAATGAAATACACTGGCAAAGAAACAGGCAAAATTCAATAAACACCTAAATATTAACATGGTTAAAAGGACATTTTGAAGTACAGGTATTGCAAGACAGATCCCTTAAAGCGCCAGACCAGTATTTAGTAAAAGTAAAGTTTATTAGTTCACAACCAAGAGAGTCCAAAAACAAACCAAAAAGGCTCAAAACACTTATTCTTCAGTGTGAAACACAGTATTACCCATAGTTAACCCAAAAACAGGACCTGGAAAATAACCCAGATTAAACAGGAATATAATGCGGTTTAAACTTAAAGCTATGAAATCAGCAGGGGAAAAAGCACTCCAATCTGCAGCAGGACATCAGTAAGCACGAAGGGACGAAGGGTAGAACAGAAAAGCCAGAGTCATCTACCAAAGTCAGTCCAAACATGGCATACCCGTCGTCGTGAATCCAATCCAGGTCGAAGAGGGAGAAGGCAACAAACACGCTAATCCAGTCCAGGTCATACACAGAGCCAAAACGAAGAAGGCAGTCCAGAGAAAACCCCACAGTTCCAACCCCTCAGCCATGGATAATCCAGATTAAATTTACATCCACAGAAGTCTTCCCAAACACGTCTTCCCAAACAGCTCTCAATGATACACGAATACCCATCAACACCTTGCCGACCGCAAGGAACACCATCTCCCAACCCCACTTTTATTCAGAAATCATCCTCAGAACTGGAACCAGCCAACCCCCTGTTACCAGCTGAAACCCCTTGCCTCAATTCCTCCTCAGAACTGGAATCAGACAATGCCCCACCAGACCTCCTTTTAGCTGAAGCCCTTTGCTGATCCCTCCAGTCTTTCCATCTTCTATCGAGACCAATAACTCCCCAAGACTCAGCCAGATCCCCACTGTGCCAACCAGAGAACCCCACAAACGTGTCGCTACTTGTGGGCTCTTCACAGACTTTCTGAACCTCCCGCACTTTAGTCCAGTCGATTTCTCCATCCTCTGAACTTGCCATACCACCCTCCTCAGTCTCAGAACCATTATTCCCCACAAAGCCCTCAAGTGATTCATCATCACTGGATTCCATAAGTATTTCCCAGATCCGCTTTCTCTGTTGCTCCTCATCGGAGCCTTGCTCACGAGTAGTCTTTCTTCCCCTTCTAATACTCCCAGTAGTATCACTACTCGAAGACTCCATCACAACACCAGGGGTTGATGTCTGACTGCATTATTGGAAGTTTCAGAAAAGAATGCCCCCTCTGCATTTTCTCTGCATGTCATTTTGCACAACACTTCTGTATTTTCACAACATTTACACATTTTGAACAATATTTATGATATGATGAGCCCAGGCACTTACAAATACTTCGGGCCATGTATGCCAGAACCCTCTGGACATTTTGAGAGCACCAATGGACAATGTTCCAGAAAGTTTAAAAAAGTGAAATGGAGGCTTTTCTGGATGTGTTAACCAAATATTTTTGGACTGGAAGCACACTGTGAAGTTCTCCCCTATCTCATTGGTTTTAGAGGTGGGGGTTGGAGATACGTTCCTCCTACTGATTGGCTGTGTGGTGATTGGAAGCTGTCCTGTGGCTTTCCACCTTTATTTAAAAAGAGTTACCAGTGTTATGTTGTGATTTAGTTGGGTGGGAGTGCAATGCTGCTGTATCCTTATTTCTAGAAGGAATAATACCAGTCACCTTTATATTTCAAAAGGTAAAAGTTTTCCCCTGACATTAAGTCCAGTTGTGTCCAACTCTGGGGGTTGGTGCTCTCAGCATGTGCTCATCTCCATTTCTAAGCCAAAGAGCCAGCGTTGTCCGTAGACACCTCCAAGGTCATGTGGCCAGGATGACTGCATGAATATTTCAAAATAATATTCATGAAAGACATAAATATTCATATTAGGTTGCTAGGTGCCAGAAGTGTATATGAAATTGGAACATATTTATTCAGCAATACACACACATTGCAATCACAATAAGCCTGGCCTAATGCTTGGTAGGTGTTATTCATGTTTGACTGAAAGTATCATTTAAACCACTATGCAAGAATTTCAGATACTTCATGTAATCTCTGTTAATGTGAAAATGCTTTAGTCTTCATTGTTACTCATACTTAGAGGGGAAAATTACTGTCATGATGACTCAGATATAAGGAACAGGAAAAGGAGAGAGAGACTACATATTCAGAGCTGTATGAATGCATTCCTGTATAATTAGGATTGCCTTATTCTAGTTTATTAAATCCAGGCATCTAATGTACATATTATGCAAATTATTGTAATTATCCATTTGTAGGTGGTTTTCATTGAGATCACATGTATCTAACGCAAGACCCTCAGGTCAAATCTGGCCTGCCATGCCATTTCATGTGGCCCACAAGGATTTCAATGCCAGGGCAACCTAAGGTACTTCCACACAGCCCTATATCCCAGAATATCAAGGCAGGAAATCCCACATTATCTGAGTATGGACTCAGATAACCCAGTTCAAAGCAGATATTGTGGAATTTTCTGCCTTGATATCCTGGGATATAGGGCTGTGCGGAAGGACCGTAGTTACACTTATACAATCTTACAATTACAGCTGGTCCTTTGAAATCAACCATAAGCCTGATGTAGCCCTCAGTGAAAATGAGTTTGACATCCCTGATTTAGATCTTACATGTAAAAGTTTGGCATATTAATATTTGCATTTTTCTCCTGTTGCATTTCTGCATCGATTCCATTTGTCAGATGGTGCAATGCTGGCTAAACAGTGTAATTTCTCCAGTAGTGTAGTGCACAGGCATCCTGTGATAATGCAGCATGTGTCATTAAGAGCCACACCCACTGCTTTAGTGTGATGAGATGTGCTCCACACTGGGCATGCGTACTCAGCAGCAGAGTAGCAAAGTGCAAGGGCAGATGTCTTCACTGTATCCGATTGTGATCCCCTACAGCAACGCGCTCTATGTGGGGTTGTCTTTGAAAACTGTTCAGAAGCTCCAAGTAGTCTAACGAGTGGCAGCCAGATTGCTCAACCCCCCCCCCCCCCCCAATTACGTCAGCTCCACTGGCTGTCAGGCTACTGAGCATGATTCAACATGCTGGCTTTAGCCTGTAAAGGCCTAAATCAGGGGTCCACAAACTTTTTAAACAGAGGGCCATGTCACAGTCCCTCAAACTGTTGGAGGGCCGGATTATAATTTGAAAAAAAAAATGAATGACTTCCTGTGCACACTGCAAACATCTTATTTGTAGTGCAAAAATGCTTAAAAATACAATAATTAAAATGAAGGTCAAATTTAACAAATATAAACTTATTAGTATTTCAGTGGGAAGTGTGGGCCTGCTTTTGCCTGATGAGATAGGATTGTTGTTGTTGTTGTTGTTGTTGTTGTTGTTGTTGTTGTTGTTGTGTGCTTTCAAGTAGTTTCAGACTTAGGTTGACCCTGAGCGAGGGCTGGGTAAATGACCTTGGAGGGCTGTATCCGGCC